CTTGGATCTGGTGACGATAATGGTGGTTCAAGCTGCCGACGAGTTTCTTCCTCGACTCTCATTTGATTCACCTGCTGCGGTTGCAGTCGCGATGAGAGTTTTAGCATTCAACACTCGCCTGATTCCCTTAGCCTCTGTGACAGCTCGATTTGACCTCTAGAAACCCAGAACTCGAAGCTTTGGGGCAGACGCAGAAGCCGGAATTGGCCAGAGCAGCGGAGCTTGGAATTGGCAGGCGGGGAAGGCCATAGCAGTTGGATGAACTGGGAGGGGCAACGACTGGAAGAAAAAAAAATATTAATGAGGGATTTCCAAATAGCTGACCTTCCATCAGCTATTTCAAAATCTCTCACTTGCAGGTTTCTGAAATTCCTCATGATTAAAATCTCTCATTTTTTTTTTAACTCTTCCAAACGCAGAATTGTAATAAAATCCGGAAAAGTGAGGGATTATAGCAAAATCCTCAATTCCCCATCCAAACGACCCGTTGGGGGTTTTGTAACCGAACCAAGGTTGTCAAACCGGTTTATGCTAGTGTGCCGGTTTAGTAAGTGGAATGGTTCGACCGGTGGCACATACCGGTTTGTGCCGGTTCATGCCAGGCAAGATTACAAATAAAATTATAAATACTCATATTTAAGCATGACATTTAATGTCAATACCTAAACATTTATACTTGACTACAACAAATAACATCAATATTTAACTTTTATACTCATAAAATAAATAATAAAATAATTTTTATCCATTAAATTTACTAAAATAAGATCATTTTACTTATAAATTCATATATCGATCATGCCGGTGATGTCACGCCGGTTTTATGACCTATACACGTTGAACCAGGTACAACCGGTGGCACGCCGGCCGGCGTGACAACCATGAACCGAACCCAAACCCTTAAAAAAAATGGCACAACTTTCGACAATTCAATTTTATTTGGCTCTTCTATACGAGTTGGGTCCTTGCTTAATTGGACAAGTGCATATGTGGGCCCGGGGACGCTTAATGAGTAATTTGTCGCATGGACAAACGCTCCCAACGCCAACACAGCTTAAATACAGCTCCACCCCTCCCTCCGTCTCCTTCCTCTTCAGGCGGGCCGGCGTTCTTTCTCCACCTTTACTCCGCCACCTCGATTAAAGAGAGAGAGAGAGAGAGAGACAGAAGAGTGAGAAATACAAAAAGCTCATTTCGACGGTGTACAAGCCTCCACGCTTCCACCATCGTCATCATCATCCTTCTCATCAGGTGCGTCCTCTGCTTCTTCCAGATCTCCGTTTCCCCCTTCTCGCATTCTGCACATAGTTTCTCGTTTCTTAATTCGTTTTCATTCCTGCCGCATTCTTCCATCCCCCAATCTCTCCGTCGGACCGACAATCGTGCTTAATCGACCTTCTTTCTGCTATCGGCAATCGGAGGTCTCAGATCCAGGGCTGCGACGATGAGCGCGTTTCCATCTCCCTTAGATTCTCCAGGCGACGGAGGAGTTTTTCATCATCTCCTCTCTGTCGATCGATTCGATTTCAATCTACTTTCACCTCCGTCATTTTATTCCTTTTCTCGCGCAAATCTGAGATTATTTTTTTGCCCCTTTTCGTGAAAAAAATGTGTTTTCTCTTCGGATTCTCTCTTGCATGTCGAGGAACGAGCTGATTCTATGACAATCTATCCCTCTCTTGCCTGTTCTATAGCTCGACTCTGGCTTTCTAGCTCTGTCGATTCCGGCTGAACGGAAACCGCAATGCATGATTCTTTTTCATCGGCGAATCTCGATTTTCCTGGTCCGCGCTCTCCCCCGGGGAAATCTCGTCCGTTTCGGCGGCCAAATCTGAGTTTGGCTGAGTCCACTCGTTGAAACGCTATAATCGCCGAATCGGTCGCCGGCCCTATCCTCATATTACGTCATTTCCCCCCTCTGTTTTGCTAATTTGCAACTTGTAGTTAGGTAAAAGATAAATAAATAAATTAAACCATAGTAAATACTTGTCCGCCTTTTGCTTCCACCATCCCCTTTTCTATTATCTTTTAAAGCTTTCTCTTCTGTTTTATTGGTGAATTAATTTGCACTCTAGATTGTTGCTTAGCTGGGTAGGGCCCGGCCGGCGCCGCATGCCGGCGTTTCTTTTTTCTTCCCGTCGCCGTCACCTCGTAATTTCCGCGAAGTTATCATCGTGTGAAATTTCCTACTAATATAAAATATATTTGGACCGCAGATTCAGTTGTGCGTACACTGTACTTTTTTATTCAATCATCTCCTGGTTAAATTGGGTGGGTGAGTCATTTCTGGGTTTCTTTATTAAAGTACTTACTAGATTATTAACTTATTATTATAAATTCAGATTTGGGTTTTACACGTGATAAGCTGACCGGCCTTTTGTCCATAATTGGGGATTATAAAGAAACTCTAAATGCAGAATAAGATATGATTTGATTGAAGATTTAACATTTTCTTAATCTAATTATTAACTGAAAAGATCTAAGCCGATAGCTGACAAGTCTAATGGGTCATAACTCATAAGTCGTGAAACGCGATGTTCGAAATTAGAAAGAGTTTTGAGTTTTTAGTCACCGTTTAGGGCTCCTTATTTGTCCCTCTCTACCTTCAGAGTAGTGTAGGCCGTAGGGTCATGGTTGTCACAAAGATGGCAAAGAGTTGTTAGATGAAAGCGCAATGATTTATTTACTTTGGTATGTTGCTTGTCATGTGTGCTTGACTTGACGTCTCAGTTTTCAAGTAAAAGGAAAACGCTGACCCAGTCCTTTTCCCATTGCCATTGCCATTGCCATTGCCTGCAGTGTTCATTGCATTTGGTACTCGTTGTTGTTGTCGTCGTCGTCTGTCGTCTTAGGGTAGGTAGGTAAAACGGGGCCTATACGAAACAGTAAGGGTCATAATTTTCAACCGGGCTATGGTGTTTCATAGTCCGCCGTTGGATCGAACGCGAGTGATCGGTGGCTGTTGGATAGTAGGCGACCATCGTTCACATATCATCCGCATTCGATCCAACGGCTCTAGATGCCTGTGAGCACGCGTCTGTGAGCACAAAAAGCGGATTTGTGCCGTGGTAGCTTAGCATAAGCTCTTTAGCAAGGCCATGTTATGTGATGTGCCTATCCCTGTCAGAGAATTAGTTCGTACATACATGTATTTTGGATTCAGTTGCTTGTTAGGCGAGGTTCTTCATGTTCAGAGTACGTGAAGCTGGCTATTTCTAGAACAATTTGATGTAAACCGGTACGTTATTGGAATCCACTCAACTCTTGTGCAGCCTAATTTGTACAAACCTTGATGTTTGGTAGTTCACACTTCACATCATATCCGTGAAAGAAAACCCAATTTCTGCTCAACGGAATTAAAGACTATAGGGTAAAGTTAAACTCTCTCTCTATAGGCAAAACGATCAATGGATCGTGGATGAAGATCCATCAATTCATTGGTTCGGAGTATGTTATGATTTATGTAGGGTATTTGGGTATGGAGGATGGATGGATGGATGATGTATCTTCTTCTGGTTCATTGAACCAAAGAGGAAGAGTTTACATCAATGGAAGGAAACGATGCAGTTTGTTGTTTAGAGATCCTAATCCTCATGGCGATGCATTATTGTTCGTGTTGAAATTGTGATAATTTTATCCGTGGACGCAAAGTACAGTCCCGTTTCACTTTAGATATCGACTTTCTAGTTAGATGCGTATTTGGATTGCTCGCACTGACTAAATTTAGTAGCAACAAACAGAACTGCCTATAAAAGGGCCATAAATCAACGTTAGTTTGCCCTTTCATCGTCTAAAGTTTAGATTTATTAGGGTTAAGATTGTGCCTTCAGCCCTTCACACTAGTTTCAGAAAGAGCGTAGATAAATCCTTCTCTGTAACAGAGAGTAGTTAATGTCTCCCTGAGGCGGTGTATATTTTATTACCCATTTTCTTTCTGTTCCTCGGTCAATCTCCTTGTAGCATTACGCAATTTGAAGGACAGAACTCGTATAGCTCTCGACAGATTATATATTCTTTTATACTATCAAGTACCAGAATCAGGTAGCATTATTCTCTGTTATTACAGCATATTTCGCTGGTATCCCTAGGCATTGTAATTAGAATGTGCTTTCTCTCACAATGATAAAATCACAAACATATGCTGTGCTTCAACCTGACCTTCTAACCTTTCTTCTTATCATATTTTCTGCAGGTGCTGCTGTCATAACCAAGAATGGGTGCCGGTGGCAGAATGTCCGTCCCTACATCCAAGAAGGAGGTGGATTCCAGCACTTTGAAGCGATCTCCCTACACAAAACCTCCATTCACACTTGGCGAGATTAAGAAAGCCATCCCACCACACTGCTTCAAACGCTCCATCCCTCGCTCGTTCTCCTTCGTCGCAGTCGACCTCATCATCGCCTCCATCTTCTACTACATCGCCACCACCTACATTCCGCTCCTCCCAGCTCCCCTCTCGTACCTCGCCTGGCCTATCTACTGGGCCTGCCAAGGCTGCGTCTGCACCGGCATCTGGGTGTTGGCCCACGAGTGCGGCCACCATGCCTTCAGCGACTACCAGTGGCTCGACGACACGGTGGGCTTCATCCTCCACTCTTGCCTCCTCGTCCCGTACTTCTCGTGGAAGCACAGCCACCGCCGCCACCATTCCAACACCGGCTCCATCGACCGAGACGAGGTGTTTGTCCCCAAGCAGAAGTCGCAGATCGGCTGGCACTCCAAGTACCTCAACAACCCTCCCGGGAGGGTCCTCACTCTGGCCATCACTCTCACCCTCGGATGGCCACTCTACTTAGCATTCAACGTCTCCGGGAGGCCTTACGACCGATTCGCCTGCCACTACGATCCTTATGGACCCATCTACAACGACCGCGAGCGGATGGAGATTTACTTATCCGATGTGGGCATCCTAGCCGTCAGCTTCGGGCTCTACAAGCTCGCCGTCGCCAAGGGTCTGGCGTGGGTTGTGTGCGTCTATGGAGTTCCTTTGCTGGTGGTGAATGGATTCCTTGTGCTGATCACATTCCTGCAGCACACTCACCCATCGTTGCCGCACTATGATACCAAGGAGTGGGATTGGTTGAGAGGAGCTCTGGCGACCATGGACAGAGACTACGGGTTCCTGAACACGGTGTTCCATAACATCACCGACACCCACGTGGCGCACCATCTGTTCTCGACGATGCCTCACTACCATGCGATGGAGGCTACCAAGGCGATCAAGCCGATACTGGGTGAGTACTATCAGTTCGATGGGACCCCGTTTATCAAAGCGATGTGGAGGGAGGCCAAGGAGTGTGTCTATGTTGAGCCGGATGAAGGCGAGCAGAGCAAAGGCGTGTTCTGGTACAACAACAAGCTGTGATGGTTTTTTTATGCAGGTTCCCCTGTCTGTCTTTGGTTAATGCTTTGCAGGACTTGTGTTGTGTTGTTGTGTCTGGTCTAGTGATGTCAGTGTCTTTTCTCGTTTGTTTAGAGTCTGTAGTCTTTGGGCGGTTCGACATGCCCATAAGAGCGTCGTTAATGGTTATAGGCAGTCGAACACAAAGCTGTGAAGGCTTCGTGTGCGCCATATCTGTTCTGTTTTATGTCTCCGAATGTGGGAGTTGCCGGGTTTTCCCGAGTAGAGGTCGTCGTTGTACCCCTAGTAAAATGAGTTATTTTGGGTTCTAATCTGTATGGTTTCAATCGCGTTAATCTGCCTAGTCTGTCGTTGCAGTAACAAGCGCACCGATTGCTCATCTTAATCAATGAGTGGAACTCCATTAACAATTCTCCTCTCATCAAAAAGATGAAACATAAAACATTATTGAAGTGCAATAAATGGGGAAAACAATTCAGTAGTAGGATGTTGTTTTAAAGGGAGGGCCAAAATATGGCTTGTTTGCTAAAGTTCATCCACGCAATCTCTCACATTGTAGTGTTGTCATGGTACCGATCGCTAGATTGCAGTGTTGTTATGATACCGCTCGACTGTAAAGATGTATAGGTTACTAACACCCCCTTCAAACTCAAGCCATTCAGATAGGCTTGGAGTTTGGACAGGCACAGGTTCGGACACCGTGTGCTTAACAGAAACAAATGGGGGTCACCGGGAATCGAACAGAAGACCTCACGGTCACATAAGGCTCTGATACCATGTCAAGAACCGTAAAGATGTATAGGTTACTAACACCCCCTTCAAACTCAAGCCATTCAGATAGGCTTGGAGTTTGGACAGGTAAAGATGTATAGGTTACTAACACCCCCTTCAAACTCAAGCCATTCAGATAGGCTTGGAGTTTGGACAGGCACAGGTTCGGACACCGTGTGCTTAACAGAAACAAATGGGGGTCACCGGGAATCGAACAGAAGACCTCACGGTCACATAAGGCTCTGATACCATGTCAAGAACCAGTTGATCCCAATAACTCGAGTTGTTGGGAGAGGTTCAATCGTGGATCATATACCGTTTACTAACAGCAGTGTTTTCAGTAAAATTCATATTCAATCACTCGATGCTTTATTCGCTAAAATTCAATCACTCGATTGCGGTGTGATCATGACACCTAAAATTCAATCACTCGATTGTGGTGTGATCATGACATCGCGTGACTATAAGAACTTTCGTGCAACATTTCAATCAATCATCCAATTTTTCTATTGCTGACAATTAATTCATCTACTCATTTTTCCACAAAATTTTCACGGCCCACAAGTTTTGAACAAAAGGAAAACTGGAAGTTTTACCAATCACAAATTTGTGTTAGGAATGTCATGAAACCGTACCATACCGTACCGATGGTTCAACCACGAAATACCAGTATTGGAGGCTAAACCGGTAGGTGATATTTAACGATATAACGGCTGAACTACAGTTAAACCACGGTTTTATCACAAAATACCCTACTGCTGATTTTCCCGGTAAGGTTTCCGGTACTGTTTCATGGACCATGGTTAGGAGGGACAAATTTTGGGCGGATTGCACATTGAAGGGTCCAATCGGATCTAGTCGGCCCAAGAACAACAGCGGGTACAGCTGGTAGTTGACAGGCCATCTTCGACTGACTCATTCATTCACCTTGTGGCCGTTGAAAATTCGAAAACCAGAAACGCAAAGAACACTACCAAGCCAGCAATAGACCGATCAGTTGAACCAGAAAAATAAAAAGGCTGGATTAGGGAAAAGGGGGAAAGAAGAAGAAAAAGAAATCAGGAAACACTCTCAGATTCAGATTTTATTTCTGCTTTCTTTCTCTGCCTTGGCTGGGCGACGGCGACGAATCTCAGCAGGTAATTCACCTCGACCTCTCCTCCGGACCTACGCTTTCCATCTCTCTGGTCTAGGGCTTCCAATTTCAGCACAGATCTCGCAGCTTTCCATGTTTCGCTAGCTCACGAATTGGCCGTGAATTTTCCCAGGGCCACGCTCTGTTTGAGGTATATAGAGGTTCTGCGAGATTGAAGTTTTTGGATTTTGTTTCGGAGAAAGTGCAAAGGAAAAATGGCGAGGATCAAACCTCAAGCTCTGTTGCAACAGAGCAAGAAGAAGAAGGCGCCGAGCAAGATCAGCGCCACCACTTTTATGTTCTGCGGCTTGATTGTTGTTCTAGCTCTGTTTTTTCTCTACTCCACCTACACTCACCGCTCCATAAGGTTCGTCGACGGCGCTTATTTGCGGTTTTTTTTGCACTTGAATTATTCTCGATTTGTCCGATTCGTTGGATTCCTCTGGTAACAGTCTTTCTTGTGCTCTTCTTAGGTCTAGCATCCAGAGGTCTAATACTGACTCGGAGCTTGAGGTGCATTGTTCGTAATTCCTCACTTTGCAACATCTCGATTCTCAATTATCACTTTTTTGGCCATTTCAATTTGGTGTTGTAGTTGCAGGATGATCATGGGCTTATGGATTTGAGGAAATCTGATATCCCTGGGTACGCGGTATGTCTTCTATTATCTGCTGAGCCATAAACCAGTCCATTTTGTTCCATAGTTTGTGGTTAATGTTAAGGATAGATCACTGGAATGTTGCTATTAATAATTTGTAGAAAAAAAAGGAGGTGTAGCTATATGGAACTGGTTTTTCTGCTTGAGACCGAAGATTTTGTAAAATATAGCTTTTGCAGTGAAAGAAATGTGGTTTGGTGATGGGCTGAATTTTAGTGTGATAAGTGATATATTTATGCCTGTTCAAAGCCTGGTTATGGATGTTCAAGCCGCATGCCTAAGTGCAAAGGACTTTGTTTCTTATGTTTGCTTATTTTCATTTTCATCAGATCTTTACTACATCAAAAGGGCCAATAACTGTGGAGCTTTTCAAGGACAGCTCTCCTGAAATTGTTGACAAGTTCATTGAATTATGGCAAGTTCATTATAAGCTTCTTTTTCCAGCTTTCATACTTGCATCTGTATTTCCGGTGCCCGAATATCAATTCCTTTGTTTCAACTGCTTTATCAAGCATAATCCTCATACTCTACGTGAAAAACAACTAGTTTCTTTTCTGATTTGGTTCGAATAGTCAGCGAGATGCACCTTAATTGAGCATGGACTGTGGGGACTTCCACATGGAAGTAACATAATTTTCTTATTATGCAAAGAGTTAAGTGGTGCTATTGATTCAAGGGGTGGAGCTTCATGGGACACTGGGATGCTACAAAGGCCTAGTGCTAGTCTCATGTTCTATGGAGTCTTTCCATATGCTACAAAGGCCTAGTGCTAGATGCCATATAATGAACTGGAACCTTTTCCTTTCTGAGACTTGGCTGGGATCTTTCCCATCACAAGTTGTCCACTATGACTACAATGAAAGTAAAGTTCCAGAGCTATTTAGCATAAAAAGCTTTATTGCATGTATCATCCATCATCGAAATGCTCTTAGGAATCTGTACTAATGGTGTTGATTTATTTGTAGCGTAGAAAGATTAGCATTCTAGCCAAAGTACAGAACTTCTTTTCTTTAACAATTCATAGTACACATGCAGTGTAATCTTACATTTTTAAATTGACAGATGCTCCAGAAATCTTCATAATATGACCTGAGCATCCTACCATATTTAGCTTCCACACCTGTGTTGAGAAATGATGTACTTGTTTTTCCTTCTTCAGTCAAAAGGAGCATTTCAAGGGGATGCACTTTCTTCGTGTGATAAAGCATTATGTGATTCAAGCAGGGAACACTGATAATCTTGGCAATACAGAGGATTGGACTGTGAAAGGGAAGCACCATGGCCAACTTCATGCAAGGTTACTGCATTGCTTAATCTTTTATGTTCTTATCCCTGAATATGTTCCATACTTTGGCAGTCGACCATTCAATTAGCCTAACTGAGATATTTTTTTTTTTTCCTTCAGCCTGAAACACGAGGCCTTCATGGTTGGAACATCCAAGGGAAAACGTGATGACAAAGGATTTGACCTTTTCATCACAACTGCACCAATCCCAGATCTGAGCGAGAAGCTGGTGGTTTTTGGGCGGGTTGTTAAGGGAGAAGATGTGGTTCAGGTGATGCCATAATCTTAACTCTATTTTAATTCCTGATTCTGGTTCGGAATCTGTTTCCGTTTATGTTAACAAGTTGCCTATATATCATACCTAGTACCTTCTTTAGCATGTATGTTTCCTAGTCTCGCTCTAGGTCTATCTTCTGGTCTGCAAGTAGATGAGTATGGATGCTCTTCATAAATGGCTGTCATTCTGATGCCTGATAGTGCTATGCTGGGTGGATAGAGAGGGTACCTCTCATCACCTTGGAATCACGATTGTGGTAAATAATTCTTGTTTTAACCAAATTGTTTTACAGGAAATCGAAGAGGTGGATACAGATGAACACTACCAGCCTAAAAGTCAAATAGGGATCATCGGTGTCACTCTTAAGCAGAAGGTCTAGACTGCGCACTGATTTGAAGCCCTTTCACACGGCAAGTACTGCTTTCCATTGGAAGAAGAATGACATAATTTTCGAGATCCAGGCACTTCACCCAACAGGCTAATCTCCAGCAGTAGTCCTTGTCGAAGTTCAACCTATAATTTTTGGGGGTTCCCAGTGGCAGGAATGACTTCAGTTTTGGAGAAAGCAACTGGTGTATTTAGGAGTCATATCTCATACGAGATGTGGGATGTAATCTGTACTCGATTTCGGATAAAGATCGTCACATTGTGCTGTCTTTGGAAGTTGGTCATGGTTGTAAATGATTCTCTTGTGTCTGCATTAATTGGGCATTCCATTTACTTTCTCCACTTCACTGAAGCAAACTTCTCAAGTAAAAATAATGCAGTGGGAAATTCCCAGGAAATGGAAAGAACAAAAACAAGTCACACAATCAATTCTCAAGATTTCTTCCAACTCACGCAGCCTCTACCATATCAAGCAACTTCTTTAGTTCCTCATCTACTTCGATGCCGTCTCCCTCCAACCTCTCACGCATACCAGGAGCCGATTCGCCAGCAGCTACATAAGTCTTCAGCAACTGGCTATACACATTGTAATCGCACTGTTCGATCTGCATCAGTATCTTGACCAGCTTCTCAGCTCCACTGACATCCTTCTCTTCCTCAAAAAAGCTAAAGAAAGCCGCCACAGTCTCCTGACCCGGCCGCCATGGCTTCTTGTTCACCCCGATCTCTGAGAACGCCGCCTTCATCTGCTGCAATGCCGATTCCAGCTGCCGCCTCTTCAAGAACGAGATCATCATCATCTCCCGAGCCCTGAAGTAAGGCCCTTGAGTTCTCTTCGTCGCCCCATCAAACACCATTTCAGCTTCTTCATACATCCCTTGCTCCAGATATAACTTTATAGCGGCATTTGCAATCCTCATGTCGTAAGTCGAGCAGACAGATTCCCATTCTTCGAACACCCTCGAGACACCCTCGACATCTTTCAGCCTCGCCAGGGCCAAAACCATCACCAGGTAGCTCGAATTGGTGACCTGATGGAACTTCGACTTGATGCATCCCCACACTCGGTGGACTTCTTCAAGATCCCCCGTGCCAGCGTAGAGTGTGATGAGGAAGTGATATGCATCGCGGTTGGGGGAATCGATCTTTTGCTCCAGCATCTTGAGAGCCGATCTGGCTCTCTCGAGGTCGCCCGCGTTGCTGTAGACGGCGGCTAAATTGCTGTAAGTAGTCCAGTCGGTCTTGTCTTCTCCTTCTCCTCGCATTTCTTCGAGCACCTTGTCGACTCCTTCCATGTCTTTCAGCTGACCTAGGCTCTGCATCCATACGTTGTAGGTGAAAGTGCAGGGAGCGATATTCTTCTGCTTCATCTGAGTCACGAGATCGGGGACCTTCTCGGGCTGGCGGAGTCTCATGTAGAGAGACATCACATTGTTGAAAGGCAATGAGTTTTTGATCAACTGCAGCTCGTCCATTTTGCCGAACAGTTGGAGTGCTTTCTCTGAATCGAGCTCTTTGCAGTAGCAGTTGAGTAAAGATCCGTAAGTGGGTGTACTCTTCCCCAACTCCGGCAGTCCGTTGAAGTAACTCTCAGCTTCCTTTATCCCTTTGGTTTTGCAGATGAGATCCAGCCGCACTCCTAAATCGCCATGGGCAAAGTTGATCCCTCTTTTCTCCATCCAGTCCATTATCTAACAAAACATTCAACAAGGGGGAAAACGAAATGGTATTCGAGCTGTGGTGGAGAAACGAATGAAAACAGGGAGAAAGAAAGCTGAAAACAAAACCTCGAGGCTGTGGTCGAAGCGGCCGTACTTCCGAAGCTCTTTAACGCAGCGCATCAGCTCGATTTTCCTGATGGCTCTTCCTTCCATCAGGTAGTCGTTCAACGCCTTGGTCACCGTCCCGCCGGTGGCTCCTAGGGCAGACAATATTCGGTACAGCCGTGGCTGTCTTGCGGCGTAGCCTGGTCCTGGATATGAAGACTCCGGAGCCGCCGTTGAAAGCTGCCTCCCTGTCCATGTTCTTCTTCCATTTCCGATCAGCCGACCAGGGTTTCGCCACATTTTCCGGTAGGGTTTTAGAGAAAAAAATTCAGACTGTTAGTGCGAAGCCTTTACTTTTCTGCTCCCGTTTCTTGTATTCACCTAGCAACAAACAGAAGCACGGTGCGTTTGATGTTGAGACGACACCGTGTAAGAGTTAGGTCTACGTGCTACTATAAGGTCCTTCCTTTTTTTTTTTTTTTTTTTGCCATAGATATTCCCAAAGGGAAGAGCAGATACATATTACAATGAACACGACCTTTTCAGGTCAAATCAACAATAAGAAAGGAAAAGACCTTTTCAGGTCTTGACGAAATAGGATCGAGATGCCACGAAATGGGCAATCCTATTAATTACCTTTACGTAATAAGCAAAATCCATAACCTAACTACAACCCTTTGCAGGGAGAAAGTTATGGATCGAGCTCATCGAAACTGAAGCAGAGCAACAAATCCAAATAGCAAACCCATAGTAATGACTGGGTAACATCGCCAAAGACACCTGCAACCTGCACGATTAACAAACAAGGCCTAGCTAGACCGGCCAATTTGCAGCACGTCCACAGATGCCAAACTATCATGAAACAAGAAAAAACAACATATCCCACAAAAGCTAACAAAGGCAACACGATGGCCTGTGATCCACCACTGGAAAGAGGCCACCTAGAAAAAGCGCAACAGAACGTCACCTGCAAAACTAAAAACACTATACAATGAAAAACTAAAATGACCCCAACTGGCCATATAAGAATTACAAAGAGGACCTTCAACAACAACCAAAAGACCAATATATATATGACCTAAATAGAACAGTCACAAAAAGGAAAGAAGATGGCGTTGATCAGTAAGACTTTGAACCATCGATAAGAGGGTTTGTCTAGCCACGAAATGTGCAGCCCTATTATACCTGCGAGGTGCAAAATGAAACGATACACGGTGGAGAGATGAGCTAAGAACAAGGACTTCCTGGAGTATAGCACCGCCCAAGACGTGTGACGTGTCCTTCGCGTTGATCATTCGGATGATCACCTGTGCATCACCACAAAAAAGAACTTGATTAACCAAGTGAGAAAGACACCAACGAATAGCGTCTCTAAGAGCCATGAGTTCAATAATGAAGGAGTTGGAAATATGAGCATAATAACGGCCAAAAGCAAAGTCAATAGTATGCTCTCCAGAGAAGCCTACAAAACCAACTGCACCCCCTTCAGAAGGCTTAATAGCCCCGTCAAAATGAACCAATATACAGTTAGGTGGAATAGCAGGAGGAGTGGAGTTGTTAGGACCAGCTGGAATCGCCCCATTGTTGAAGTCCCTTCGGCGTGCTATTGGATTAGCTTGTGCAAAATCCCACTCAGCCACTTGCGCATCAAATTGCCTCAACAAAACATGAGGAAGGAACTGAATACCGTCATAGGTAGCCGAACACCTGGATTTCCAGAGCCGCCAATAGAGGAACACTAAACGAACAATCGACAGCTTTGTAAGACCTGCATCAAAGAAAATCCATCTCCAGCCAAGAGCAATGTGACACAACTGAAGATGCAAGCGCATAAAATCAAGATTCAGTAAGTGCCAAAACTGGATAGCAACCCTGCATTCCAAAAAACAATGGACCAAGGTCTCCGGAGCAGCTGAACAAACAGGACATAATATCCCTTCAGCATCATCATCATCAATGATTTCCTTATCCTTAAGAACATCTCTTACCGGAAGAAATCCTTTAATCAATCTCCAAAGAAAAAACTTTAATTTGGGAGGCACAGAAAGTGACCAAAGAAAATTCCAGGATACAGAATCAAAAAGAGTAGGAATGGTGGACAGATCTTTAACAAATTCAAGTGAAGCAATACGATAACCAGACTTAACGGTGTACTCACCAGAAGACTCATAGTGCCAAACCAATCGATCTGTAATCGGGAAGACAGGCAAGGGAATACTAACTATGATCTGAATTGTCGCTTCATCAAACAAGTGTTGAAGTATATCTATTCTCCAAGAACCTGTAGCATGGTCTATAAGGGAAGATACCTGTGTAAAGGGAAGTGTTACATTAGGCAGTAGATGTGGTCGAGAGGGGGGAGTCGTAGGCAACCAAATGTCATTTGTAATGTGAACCATGGTCCCGGAACCAATGAGCCATCTTAACCCTTGAACAAGTAAATTGCGTCCTTCCAAGATACCGTGCCAACCCCAGGATGGACGAGTACCTTGAGTGGCCAGTAGAAAAGTCGAGTGAGGAAAGTATCGTCCTTTATATGTAGTAGCAAGAAGGTCATCTGGATTTTGAATAATCCGCCAAGCCTGTTTCGCCAGTAGGGCTATATTGTTACTATCAAAATCTTTAAAAGCAAGACCTCCAGCTAGCTTAGGCCGACAAAGAGCTCGCCATGAACACCAACGCATACCAGTGTCGCGATCTTGTTGCAGCCACCAGAACTTGGACATATGATTATTAAGACGCCTACAAAAGGAAATTGTCAATCTGAAACTAGACATAGCATATAAGGGAGTAGCGCAAGCAACCGACTTAAGGACTGTTTCTTTGGCCGCCAAAGTCATAGACTTGGAATTCCACCGTTGGAGGCGTTGCACCAATCCATCTTCTATGTATGCAAAGGTGGCCTGCTTGGATCTGGAAACACGAGCCGGAAGACCCAAGTAGCGATCATTTGGACCGCTAGCAGTCACTCCCAGTAGCAAAACAAGAGAGCTAGCTTCAGCTGGAGAAACATTGGCACTAAAAGTTACTGTGGACTTCTGTAGATTCACTTTTTGGCCACTGGCTTGCTGGTAAGAATGAAGTAGCTGAAGCAACCTATGACATTCAGAAACAGATGCTCGAAGGAAGATATATGAGTCGTCTGCAAAAAATAGGTGAGAAATCACAGGGCACCGACGATGAACCTTAATACCATGAAGAAAATCGGAATTAATAGCATGATTAAGCAAACAGGAAAAGGCTTCAGTATACAAGGTAAACAAAAGAGGGGAAAGAGGATCCCCTTGCCTAAGTCCGCGTTCTGGATGAAAGTATCCATGGGGAGAACCATTAAGGAGAACCGAGTAAGAAACTGAAGAGACACAAGACCACAACCAACTCAGCCACTGTTCACAAAAGCCAAAAGACCTCATGACTGAAAAAAGAAAATCCCACTCGACCCTATCAAAGGCTTTTTCCATATCCAATTTAAGTGCCATCCACTTTTCTTGACCTTGAGTTTTTGTTTTCAGAAACTGCATAACTTCCTGACCTAACAAAACATTATCTGAAATAAGACGACCTTTCACAAACCCATTTTGAAATGGGCCAACTACATTAGGAAGTATCTCTCGTAGTCGAGAAGTTAGAATTTTAGAAATGATTTTGTATGGAACTTGACAAAGGCCTATAGGTCGCATTTGCCGCATAGAGTCAGCTTGGGGTACCTTAGGAAGCAGAGTAATCCAAGTGTGATTAAAGTTGGGCAGAAGGTGCCCTGACCTGAAAAACTCTTGAACAGCACCTACTACTGAATCTCCTACCAAGTTCCAAAAGGATTGGAAGAAAATCCCAGTAAACCCATCAGATCCCGGTGCTTGATATCCTCCAATGCTAAAAACTGCTAACTGTATCTCCGATCGAAGAACGGGTAGTGTCAAAGAGTCATTCATAGCCCTCGTGACCAAAGTCGGCAGCCGCAATGCAGCAACAAAGTTTGCAACCTGTACAGCTTCTGAGGTAAATAACTTACAAAAGTAATGAACTGAAATACTACCTTTAGCTACCTCATCGGAATGAATGACTCCAGCATCGTCTCGAAGAACAAGAATCCTATTCTTTCGTCGTCGATGGAGGGTCGTTAGGTGAAAGAAGTGAGTATTGGAATCTCCCCGGGTTAGCCATTGAATTCTAGATTTCTGTTGCCAATACAACTCCTCTTGAACAAGAGCAGCCGATAATTGATCTTCTAGATTTGAGATAACAGGCCAATTGATTTGTTGTTGCCCTCGTTCTGTTGCTATGGTATCCTGAAGCTCTCGTATTGTTCTAGCTGAATTTGAAGTTCCTTGAGAGGCCCAGACAAATAATTCATGTCGCAAACATTTGAGCATATTGTGAAGTTGATACTGGAAAGTTCCACTAAAGGGGAGATGCCATAGACGATTCAAGATCATGATAGCCTCTTCATTGTCAATCCACCGACAATCAAAATGGAAACTAGCCTTCGTACGAGCAGCAGTCGGGTGAAGTTGTAATAAGATAATGCGATGATCAGACCCTAAGTCAGATAAATGAGAAACTTGCATACCTTCCCATGTCGTAACAGCCAACGGGGAGGCCAAACATCGATCAAGCCGCTCCATTATATGTTCTTCAGGAGACCGACGATTGGTCCATGTAAAAGGTGGGCCGTGAAATCCCAAATCCTGCAAACAAATAGAATCTACGAAAGATTGAAGTTGAGACAAAGCAAGTGGAGTAGGAAGCCTTCCTCCAACCTTTTCGGTGCTGGCCATAAGACAATTGAAGTCACCAATAACAAAAAACGGTAGAACAAAAGACGAAAGAGCAACAAAAATGTCATTGAACTGTAATTGGCGACGATCTTCATTACAATCCAAGTGTACAAAGACAAACAAAATGACACCATAAACAGGATGGTAACATTTCACCCCAATGTAGGACTGAGACAGAAATGAAATTTGACAACTAACTTCAGAAGTCCAAGCAACCGCCATGCCACCAGCCGTGTTGATGGAACTAACTAAGACAGAATTTGAAAAACCTAATCGACGCAAACGATTAGTTATCTTCCTATCTGAACATTTGGTTTCACAGAGAAAAACAAGCAAAGGTGAGGCGCTATACACAGCGGCAGAAAGAGCCTTTCTTGCCAAAGCCTTGCCAAAGCCACGGCAATTCCAAGAAAGAACACTCATGTCGACAATTGGAACCGACCAGGACGGTAGACTCTACCCAAGCAGTGGCCCCCGGAAATGGGCAGTAAGATTGTCGCACAACGGCGATACTCTGGCTAGGTAGCGAACCCACCAGTAGAGACGTAATCAAGCCTCAATTTCACCTCAATTATGGAATTAGGAAAAAATCCCCAAATTCGAAACCCTAATTCTGTCAAACCTTCACTGCCGGAGAATTGCAAAGTCAGGCTGGAAAGAGGTGGCCAGCTCCGCAACGGCTGAACAGAAGAAGGAGAGAAGCGAGGCTGACTGTCGATGGCGACCGCTTAAATCGCAGGAAATTGGTCGGCTTCGAAGTCGCTGTTCTGGCTGGAAGTGATGAAGGCCGATAACCGATGAGGGTAGAGCAGGGACACTAAGGCCAGGTGACGACTATGCTTGTGGAGGTGTCGGAAGATGCAGGAGTCGGAGCGGCAACCGGAAATTTGAGGACGGAATCCTTGTTCGTGGATGCGGGAGAAAAGTTTTCCGGAGATAAATTCGAGAAGGACTCTTTCAGAAGCTCTTGAATGTTACTATAAGGTCCTTCCTTGTCAATTGTCATTGTATTTAGCTTTAATAATCTTTCTTCAAAACTTTCTAAAAACAAAAATTATATACTACGAGCTTTATTGGTTTCTCATTGTTACAATTTCTGCAATTAGGATTGGAAGTTGGTTCGGTTATTGTCTGAACCGATTAGTCGATTATCGGTTAACAGTTTACCACTTTGTACTTACTGCTAACCACATCATTGATATTGATTTGTTAACCGGAATTGTATAATTGGTTTCACAGGTCCTTCTTCACCCGGTTCCTAATGGAGGAGGGAGATGATGTTCGGGTGCCTCTTGCCTACAGGAGATTTCACCCTTCGCTCGGCGTATGAGCTGACGGGCGCGAGCGAGAACGTTCCTCAAGGCCATCCCATTTGGCGATCAATCTTGAAGACCCCGACAATACAGCGGGTGCACACCTTCTTGTGGCTTCTGAACCATGACCGGCTGTAGGAATGACAATGGGGCGGGTATCTCAATACCCATACCCGCCCCGTGGCAGGTCGGGTAATTTATCATGGGGCCCCCGACCCAATGAGCATGTAACTTATACGAAAAATATTAGAAATATTCATTATTTTCATTAAAAGATTAAGAAAGAAACCGTTATATGATAAAATGTAGTTAAGTTATTGGAGAAATTGAGGTTTTTACTTATTTACAATTTTATTATAGCTAAAATATGATGTAATAAGAGGAAAATCCTAAGTAATTTGACTAAGATTACATGTAATTTAGGCAGGAACGGGTCAAGAATGGGGCGGGTCGAAACAGGTCGGGTCAATGAGAAGTACCCCTACCCGCCCGCCCCGCCTACGGAGCGAGTCGGACCTGCTCCAAAACAGGCCAAACAGGTCGAGTAAATCGGGTCAGGTCGAAATTCCCATCCCTAACCAACTGTTAACCAACGCGGAGAGAGGACGAAGACACGTGACTACAAATACCTCCTGCAATCTGCGAGAGCAACCTTGGCGGACCTTCTCAACGATGAGCCAGACATCGCTTTTCTCGAGCCTGAAATCCACCGGTGGTCTCTATACTACCTTTCGGGCCGCAGTAATCGTATTAACCAAAATGTTTTACAGGAAATCGAAGAGGTGGATACAGACGAACACTACCAACATAAAAGTGAAATAGGGATCATCAATGTCACTCCAAAGCAGAAGGTCTAGACTGCTCACTGATTTGAAAGCCCTTTTCACACGACAATTACTGCTTTCCATTGGAAGAAGAATGACAAAATCTTCGAGATCCAGGCACTTCATCCAAACTCCAGCAGTGGTCCTTGTCGAAGTTCAACCTATTAATTTTGGGGGTAAATCCCAGTGGCAGGAATGACTTCAGTTTTGGAGAAAGCAACTGGTGTATTTAGGAGTCATGGTTGTAAATGATTCTCTTGTGTCTGCATTAACTGGAAATTCCATTTACAATCAATTCTCAACATTTCTTCAAACTCACGCAGCCTCTACCATATCAAGCAACTTCTTCAGCTCCTCATCTACTTCGATACCATCTCCCTCCAACCTCTCACGCATACCAGGAGCCGATTCACCAGCAGCTACGTATGTCTTCAGCAACTGGCTATACACATTGTAACCGCACTGCTCGATCGGTTTCAGTATCTTGACTAGCTTCTCAGCTCCACTGACATCCTTCTCTTCCACGAAAAAGCTAAAGAAAGCGCCCACGGTCTCTTGACTTGGCCGCCAAGGCTTCTGGTTCACCCCGATCTCTGCCAACGCTGCCTTCATCTGCTGCAGTGCCGAGTCCAGCTGCCGCCTCTTCAGGAACGAGATCATCATCATCTCCCGAGCCCTGAAGTAAGGCCCTTGAGTTCTCTTCGTCGCCCCATCAAACACCATTTCAGCTTCTTCACACATCCCTCGCTCCAGATAAAACTTCACAGCCGCATTCGCAATCTTCATGTCGTAACTCGAGCAGGCAGATTCCCATTCTGCAAACAACCTCGACACACCCTCGACATCTTTCAGCCTCGACAGGGCCTGAATAATCACCAGGTAGCTCGAGTTGGTGACCTGATTGAACTTCGACTTGATGCATCCCCACACTCGGTGGACTTCGTCAAGATCCCCCGTGCCAGCGTAGAGCGTGACGAGGAAGTGGTACGCTTGGCGGTTGGGGGAATCGAGCTTCTGCTCTACCATTTTGAGAGCCGATCTGGCCCTCTCGAGGTCGCCTGCGTTGGTGTAGACGGTGGCCAAGTTGCTGTAAGTAGCCCAGTCGGTCTTGTCTTCTCCTCCTCCTCGCATTTCTTCGAGCACCTTGTCGACTCCTTCCATGTCTTTCAGCTGACCTAGGCTATGCATCCATATGCTGTAGGTGAAAGTGCAGGGAGAGATATTCTTCTGCTTCATCTGAGTCACGAGATCGGGGACCTTCTCGGGCTGGCGGAGTCTCATGTAGAGAGACATCACATTGTTGAAAGGCAATGAGTTTTTGATCAATTGCAGCTCGTCCATTTTGTCGAACAGTTGGAGTGCTTTCTCTGAATCCAGCTCTTTGCAGTAGCAATTGAGTAGAGATCCGTAAGTGGGTAAATGCTTCCCCCAATCCGGCAGTCCGTTGAAGTAATTCTCAGCTTCCTTTATCCCTTTGGTTTTGCAGATTAGATCCAGCCGCACCCCTAAATCGCCATGGGCAAAGTTTATCCCTCTTTTCTCCATCCATTCCATTATCTAACAAAACATTCAACAAGGGGGAAAACGAAATGGTATTCGAGCTGTGGTGGAGAAACGAATGGGAAAGAGGAGAAAGAAGGCAGAAAACCAAACCTCGAGGCCATGATCGAAGCGGCCGTACTTCCGAAGCTCTTTAACGCAGCGCATCAGCTCGTTTTTCTTGATGGCTCGTCCTTCCATCTGGTAGTCATTCAACGCCTTGGTCACCGTCCCTCCGGTGGCTCTTAGGGCGGACAATATCCGGTACAGCCCCGGCTTCTTTTCGACATAGCCTGGTCCTGGATATGAAGGCTCCGGAGCCGCCGTTGAAAGCTGCCTCCCTGGCCATGTTGTTCTTGCCTTTCCGATCAGCCGACCAGGGTTTCGCCACATTTTCCGGTAGGGTTTTAGCGAATTTTCTTTTTCGGATTGTTACTGCAAAGCTTTTCTTTTCCCCCTCCCGTAGTCCCGTTTCTTGTTTACACTTTACACCTTGTCCCTTCCGCCGCACGTTGTGGTGCATTTGACACACGACACCGTTTGCGGGTTATGTTTACGAGCAACTATTAGGTCCTTCCTCCGCACGCTTTTTAGTAAAAATAGAAAGAGTATTTTTGTTTTCACAATTATTTATTTACGTTATATATAAATATATCTACAACGATATTTCAACCATAGTCTTTTTTGCATGGTCCATGAAACCGTACCGGATATCGTACCGGAAAAGTCAGAAATATGATATTTTATGATAAAACCGTGGTTTAATCGTATTTCAACCGTTAGATCGTTAAATATCGTCTATCGGTTTAGCCTCCGATACTGGTATTTCGTGGTTGAACCGCCGGTACGGTACGATTTAATGGACCATGCTTTTTAGACAAAGACAAGATTGATAATTAATTACACTGAACAAATATTTTGTATTTTTTCTATTGTTGATGCTCATATATTTGTTATGAATACTTGAAACTAACGACAAACTCCTCTTAAGAATGAATTTCTTGATGTATCTAAAATAGTCTGGCGCTCTGAAAATCAAGTTGTCCCTAAAAGTCTAGAAATCCACCAATTCATCTATTCGATATGACAGCGAAATCGAGCTTTTGGTGATCTTATTGTTTGAAAGCTCAATGTAAATATTTTCGGATTCCAATTTGTAAGAGTAATGTTAATTTCAAGTTTGAAAAGTTTGTTCTTTCAATGGTATTGAGATTCAATTGGAGGAAGTAAAGAGCTCATATATGCCATTAATGTCTATCATTTTGCCATTTTCACATTGAGTTTTATTTTTATGAGATTATTGTACATACGTGGTAGTTCGTATTTTTTTTTTTTTTACTGTAATGAGTGGGGGTACTAAGGTTTCTTTGACTTGATTTTAGGATGATGAGACTTAATCACAATTTAATAAGCAAGGTAAGAGCCACTTTAATGACAAATAACAAAATAATATCTAAAGCCAGTGGTTTGATTAAAAACGAACTACTATTACTACTCTAGTTTTGGTAATTAAATTAGTTGTATAAATTCCTCTAGATCTGCGTGAGACCGACTATTATATTTACATGTGTCCATTCCAATTCCTACTTTCAACCACTACTACTCCGCTAAGAAAGAGTCTCTCTAATTAGTGCAATAACTACATGTGAATAAAAAGCATAAACTATCATGTCGTAGAGCTCGTTGTTCTCCTTTTTGCATGTCTCTGATTTGAAACTGCAGATAATAAGGAAGGACTTCATGATGCTTCAGATGAGATGCAATATTACCATAAAACGTTTTGTCTCCAACTTGATCTTCATTCCATTTGGATATTTTTATATTGTGTATTATAAATTTGAGATTTTAAAAATAAAATATGATTCTATAATAATTTTTTGTGATAAAAGTGACTGAGATGCACACCTGATCAATAATGCCCACCAAACATTGAAAAATTAAAAATAAACGACAAAGAGGTGGAAAACTCCTATTTTAATCTAACCAACCATTGATATTCAAATTCTTATATTTTCTCTAATATTTTGGTCAAGGCATACTTCATTCAATATTGAGTTATCAAAATGAGAAATGAGGCTGTGATTTTGATGCATAACCTACTTCGGACATTATGTGAAATTATTTGAGAACTTGCTAACATTGAACCGAGTTTACCGAACTTCATGCCATTTGCATTATAAATTTGGAGTTTCAAAAATAAATTACGATTTCATAGTAATTAATTTTTGCGAAAAAATTTATGGAGATTCACCACCTTCTCCAGACCATCAATCTCCACCAAAATATTGAAAAGAGAGAAATAAATTAAAAAATAAGGGTTTGAGAGGTGGTAAAATTCAGTTTCATTAATATTTAATAGCTAACGATATCTAAAATATTTAGGCCAACATATATCCATCCAAAATAGTCAAAATAAGGAATGATGTTGCAGTTTCAGTACATAACCTTCTTTGTTTCACTCGAAAACTCTAATTTAAGCATGAATCTCAAGCGTTGAAGCTTAGAGTGTGTTTTGATCTCTCACAAATTTTTACGAACTATATTTCCTTCTGCTAATTTGGTTAATTGATATCTATCAACAAAAAAGGATACAAATACTATGACGAGTATTTTGTGAGAATTTATAACATAAAAAACAACACCCGCTAGGTAACTATATTTCCTTCTGCTAATTTGATTAATTGATATCTATCAACAAAAAAGGATACTTTGTCAAAAAAAAAAAAAACAAAAAAGGATACAAATGCTATGACGAGTATTTTGTGAGAATTTATAACATAAAAAACAACACCCGCTAGGTAACATTATTTTACTTTTCCGTTATGTTTTACTCCAAATTCATTCGAGAAAAGAACATAGTACCCACTAAAATATATAGTTTTGGTCGTACCTCATTGCTACCGGTTTATAAATTCAGGCAACAGTTTCGAGTCATGTGGACAGTTGCCAATATTTAATTTGTGCTTAGTGTTACTTGATGATGGAGATAATAACGATTTGAGAAAAAGAAAAGGTTGGTGATGATGGAGATAGAAATTTCAAATTTTCAATGATAAAAGAGAAAGAGTGAATATAGATTACAATGTTCATGGTTTGGATAAAATGAATTTTACCAAGTGAAAATTATGTTTCATATGGAGTTTTGACTTTCCAATACTTAGATAATTTGAACTCTTTTTTAATACCAGATAAAACGCCATTTTCATCAAATAATAGTTATTTTTATTATACCACTAATGAAAATATGAAATGTATCCGGCCAACGGGCAGGACCCAAATCTAGTTGTTTTAAATTGGTAATTGTTGGTTTTACTATAAAAGTTAAAATGATCACTTCAATCTTTATTTTTTATGGCTTGGGTTAGGATACAAAATGAATTTGTTTTGAAGCACTAAAAAAATCTCATCTAATGACAGTAATTAGGGTTTCACTATCTGCAGCAATAGAGTGCTGAATGTCTTTCTTGTATTACAGAAGGAGGCTGCGGCTAGCAGCTATACATACCATATGACTAAGCAGCTAGGTATATAGGGAAAATAACAAAAAGGTACAGCTAAAACAAACTATGTACAAATCAGTCCAATATTGTACTGTTTTATCAACGGGGTCTGGTTAGTGGAGCAGTTAAAAAGCGGTGATATTGATCCTGATCCTTTTCATCATCTGCTCAATTGTCACTATAGAGCAAGAATAGTTTAATTAAGGACAAAGATTCCTGATCCTTTTCATCATCTGCACCAATGTCAACGATATAAATACCCGATCCATTTTTCTACGTTTCCAAGTTGTCTATTAAAACAATAAATTATGAACAGTGCAATGTTGAGATTGCTGTGTATCTTAATCAATTACTAATCAGGTTATGTTCTTTTATATATGGCCATCTACTTTACCAATTGCGTGGAAATTTGGATGAGAACAAAAAGAGACACAGAAGTTCTTATTGTTGGTAAGTAGCTCTTTATATACCAACGAAATTGTACAAGAAACCCCGTTATAAGGAGATGTAAGAAATGTAGATCCAATGCTTAGCAGGAGCTTGTGGAAATATGATTCAGTTACTCGATAGTTAAGAGGGTCACATTGATATACTTTTAGAGTATACGATACTTCTAATGAACCTAGTGAAGCGGTACTATTTAGACTATGAACTAAATAGAATTTGGGGATAATATATCATAACTTTTAATTAGTATTTACTTATACTCAGTATTTAGGATTTAGGTTTTGAGGTCTAAGGTCTAGAAGTTTTGGGTATGATAATGTACTTTAACATTTAATTTAGTATTTACTTGTATTGAGGGTTTATGGGTGGAGGATTTAGAATTTAGGGTGCAGGTTTATGGTTTAACACTCAACTTAATTAATACATGGATTGATTGTAGTTCTGTATTATATCACCATATTCGACTAAAGGTAGCAATTAGAATTTAGAATTTTGAGATTTAAAATTAACTACAGTTAGATTTGAGTATGGATTATGTAGTCGGTTTTTGTGTGGATGCACGTGTATATCTATATATGGTGGGTTTTATCGTACTTTGGACAAATTTAGGGGTACTGCATATCCTTAATAAGAAAACACTATACAGATCTCGAATTAACCTGATTTTGGAACATTATACTATACCCTAACTCTTAACGAGTGACCCTGGATTCTAATTAAATCATAAACCCTAATATGGTGCATGTAGTTTGTTCAATGTATTTTGACTAATCATAACCATCGAATATTATTTTTAATTAAGTTGATTTTGGTGTATAAGATTTAGAGGATTAAGACCTGAATTTTAATCTTTAAGGGCTAGGGTATAGTATCATTTCCCAAAATTTCATCAATTAAAGGTCTAGATAATGTTTTCCTACTCAAGGTATATATATGGTACCTCATATTTACCCGAATTACTATTGACCCATTAAATACGTTTTTTTTTAATTTACTATGATACAAGTTACACGTTTTCTACTTATAATAATGTTCATACTTCTTGTTCAGGTAGCTACCCTTGGCAGTTTTTCCACATATATTTGCATCATTAAATCTTCATGTTTATCATACTACACCAATATCAACACAACAATATTAGATAAAAATGTTCGACAAAGAAGCATTTTTCAAACGACTGAAACCCGCAACCTCTTACAATGGAGATGTTTCCAGGAACCCGATGGAGTGAGTGGCCATTAGCCAAGAATTTTTCTATTCCTTTCGATTTTCATTTTGTTTCTGATCAATGTTCATTATTGAGACTTGTGTAGCTAGATGGTCGATATTATCGTTTCATATGTATAATTATATGGACTCAAATATACCCAAATTGTGAGTTCGACTTAAATAGATGTTCTCCTGTTCTAGCTCACTTTCCCATATCACAAGTCGGTAACTTAAAGTAATCCGGCCAACGAGCCGGATCAGTCTCAACGATTTGAGGATATATTTTTTCTCTCTCTATCTTACTAATGTTATGAGGTTGTACTGTTGTAGTACATGA